AGGGAACTACAAGAAAAAACCCGCTCAAGCCAACTTAACTGAAGAAGAGAGTCTTTGTACAATGGTTTTGTACCTGAATGTATCTAGCATCATGTCTGAAGTCAATTTGGTGGATAACCCCAAAGCATGGTGGGTGGACACAGGCGCTACTTGCCACATTTGTTCTGAGAAAAAAATGTTCTCATCATATCATGCAACAGAAGATGGAGAACAACTCTACATGGGGAATTCTTCGACTTCCAAAGTTGAGAGACAAGGGAACGTGGCACTAAAGATGACGTCAGGAAAAGAACTCACTCTCAAAGATGTGTTGCATGTACCAAATATTCGAAAGAACCTCGTACAAATTATGTAAAGGCCGAAAACCTTCTATAAATATTTAAAAGTGTGAGGGTGTTTGGCTAAGATAACATTACCAGGCCCTAAAAAGGTCAAATAGGTCCTAAAACAATTGATTGTGTATTCATTGAGCACGAAATAGTAGTGTCTATTGATTTTTAGTACATGACAACTCATAGGTCCATGTTAATACAATCATTAAGTCAAGGAATGCTTCATTTTTTGAAAATGTTTTTCCTTACAAATCCACTCAAGATATTAGCATTCCTAAACAAACTTGTGATATTGCATTTGACAATAGTCAAGAATTGGTTGAAGAAAAACAAGGAGGAGAGTTCAAAGAACAACCTAGACGAAGTAAAAAGGCCAGAGTTGAGAAAACTTTTGGTCCTGACTTCCTAACATTTCTACTTGAGAAGCTCCTTTCAAAGAAGTAATGTCAACTACTGAAGCTCCTTTATGGAAAGAAACTATTAATAGTGAAATTGAATCCATCTTACAAAATCATACTTGAAAATTGGTGGATCTTTCACCAGATTGCAAACCTCTTGGATATGAATGGCTATTCAAAAGGAAAATGAAACTGAATCGATCAATTGACAAGTACAGAGCAAGACTTGTGGCTAAAGGTTGTAATCAAATTAAAGGAGTGGATTACTTCAATACCTATTCATCCGTAGCAAGGATCACATTCATTTGAATGTTAATTGCAATTATTGCTTTAAACAATCTAGAGATACATCATATGGATGTAAATGCTGCATTCTTGAATGGTGATCTGAATGAAGAAATTTACATGGAACAACCAAAAAATTTTATTGTTCCGGGCAAAGAGAAAAAATTGTGCAAATTAGTAAAATCATTGTATGTTTGAAACAAGTACCAAAACAATGGCATGAAAAATTTGACAATATCGTGATGTTAAATGGATTTAAAATCAATGAATGTAACAAATGTATTTATGTTAAAAAAACTGAAAAATGTTATGTCATTATTTGCCTATATGTAGATGATATGCTAATTATTAGTGCCAATAGTGGTATGATCAATTCAACTAAGAAAATACTGAACACTAAGTTTGACATGAAAAATATAGGAGAAGCAGATGTGATTTTAGGAATGAAAATGACTAAAACATTTGAAGGATATGTTTTGTCTCAAACTTACTATGTTGACAAAATTCTTGAGAAATTCAATAAGCATGACAACCATCATGTAATGAAAAATAAAGGTGAAAACATATCACAATTGGAAGTCTAATATAGCGCATGCAGTCTAATATATCTCATGAGTTGCATGCACCCGACCTGATATAGCGCATGCAATAAGTAAATTGAGTAAATACACTAGCAACCCAGGAAAAGACCATTGGACAACAATAGTTAGGGTTCTTAGATACCTAAGACACACCCGTGACTATGGGTTGTACTATACTAGATATCCAACGGTCCTAGAAAGGTATTGCGATGCTAATTGGATATCTAACACAAAGGATTCTAAATCTACTAGTGGATATGTCTTTGCCTTGGGAAGTGAAGCAGTCTCTTAGAAATCTTCTAAACAAACTTGCTTAACTAGATCCACAATGGAATCTGAATTTATTACTTTAGAGAAAGCAGGAGAATAAGCAGAGTCTTCGTAATTTCATAGAAGATATTCCAATGTGGCCGAAACCTGTGCCAGTGATTTGTATTCATTGTGATAGTCAAACTGCAATGACTAGGGCACAAAATCATATGTATAAGGGTAAGTCTCGTCACATTCATCGTAGATATAACGCCGTTAGACAACTTCTCTCTAGTGGAATAATTTCCATTGAGTTTATAAGGTCAAAGGAAACATAGCGGATTCATTGACTAAGGGTTTGACCAGAGAGCAAGTGTTGCGATCATCAAGGAGAATGAAATTAAAGCCTATCACTTAAGAGTCATCTTAATAGAAACCCAACCTAGTTTACTGAATATCCTAAGATCTAGGTTCAAAGGGACAACCAAATTAAGAATGACTCATTAGATTCACTAAGGAGTAATTCTCCTATCCATTTCTATGACAAGATAGTGATTACTTGTAGCAACAAATAGGTTAAGCTTTGCTTTTAATGAGACTCATAAATTGAAATTTCAAGTGGGGTATAACAAGATACTCTTAATGCCAATTCTATGAGAATTGAAAAGGCTAAATTCTCTAGAGCAGTCATGAATCTAGGAATTGTCCAGGGTCAAAATGGACGCAACCAATAGAATCAAGTTGTGTATGCAAATAAAACTATGTGATAGACTATTATCTTGGTTTACATTAACGGCAGAACAGTTCAAGACATCATGTTCACCGATCAGCTAGTAAATCCGATAATCTTTTACAAGTGAAGGTTCAAGGCCAAAAGCTACCAATCCTATGTAGGATATTTCCAAATTTGCACTCACATAGTCTGCATGTTGTTGCATTTCTCGTTTCGTCAATTTCATTCATGTGGAGGATTGTTGTAAAAACAAATGAATAAAAGGACTTCATTCGAATGAAAGGGTGCAATCCTTCACCCTTCATGGTGTCTCTTTATTTTAAAGGATGTGACCTAAGAGTCATATCCCTTCTTCATGCCTTTTCTATTCAAACCAAATTGGTGCCAACAAAGACTATATAAAGGCTGCATTCATTTCGAAATTCTGAATTTTTTTTTCTTTCTTTCATATATTCAATGTTCATTCGTGAGTCTAAATTCTTGTGAGTGCAAACCATAATTCTGGTTAGCTATACAATCAAAGAGAGTGCTCTCTTAATTTGTGGTGATTGTTGTATATTGAAAACATGACGTCTATTATTCTCAAGCACCATTGGAGAGGTCAAAATTCTGTCTTAAAAACAGAGTATTCAAACACTGGCCTCAATCACAAAAGTGTTCGTTATCAATTTGCATAAATTCTATAAGATTTATTTTTTTGTTTATTTTAATTATTTATGTTATTTTGCTTTAATTAATTTTACCGAAGGTTATCTCCAACAACTTATTTGTTCACCTTACCAACACCAACCGCCGCTGTTGATTTTTCTGGCCAATTTTTCAATTTGTTATCAAAAGAGATTAAATCATTGACATGCATAAAAGTGGAAAGAGAAATTGACTTTTTAGTGATGACTTTTTAATTTTTTAACTATTTTAAGTTGTTGCCAAACTTATCCCAAATAACATATGATTTTGTAAGAATTAACTTTTCCCCAATTAAACCAAGTAATATATATGTGACCTTTTCGCTCTAAGCTTCCTTTTGCTACTTGACAAGAGTGGGCCGACAGAGAGATGCCCCTAAACTTAAATGCACATCTCTTGCAATGCCATCCTTAGGAGGAGAGCCACTCTGTGTTCCATGGAATTTATGGCTTGGCTTCACACTTTTAAATTTTGAACAGTTTTTAAATTATGTTTTGTTAGGTATATATAGCATTGCTGAACAGGAAAACTGTACAAAAATCCAATATTAGAATGATCTAACAAGTGTTCAATACTTTAAAGAAAAAAAGCCTATTCAAATTACTTAAATATTCAAAAACAGAGTTTTCCATTATGGAAAACAAGACAATACATATAATATATAAAAGATAAATTATAAATACACCCTTGAAATTTACTTAAAATACAAATTGCCCCATATTGTTTGGAAAATTACAAATACTCCCTAGTCCAAAAAATTTATTTAACATAATTAACTAAAAAAAATAAAATTCCTAACTACTTTCCGATACAATAATAAAATTGCCTGAAGTATTAATTAAAATAAATTTCTGATATCACTAAAAAATGTTAATTGATTTGACAATTTATTAATAAATAGGGTTATTTGTAATAAAATTATAAAATTCAAAAGACGAGATGTAATTTTCAAAATCATATAAAACAATTCTTATATATATATATATGTAATTTATAGGAAACTTGCTTCATCTAACACCATCAATACCCTCCTAGATTTGTTTGGTGTTTTGTCTAGTAGTGCACATGCTCATCCATGTATGGATAAAATTCAAGCTCCAACCAATGCTATCTATCTAGAAAAGATGGAAAAGGAGGCGATACACAGAAAGATCTGATGAGGTGGCTAAATAATGCCGGATGGGATGTCCCATGAATATTTATTATTGACACTGTTGTGTTACATGCATTGTCTGTTTCAGTAATGTGGCCATCACCAGATAGAGAATCAGAGATCGAAACATTCCTCAACTATATATTTAAGAATAATGTGGCCATCACCAGATAGAGAATCAGAGATCGAAACATTCCTCAACTATATATTTAAATATCTGAATGATAAGAAACCCATTAGGAGAGAATTCGGGGGAGAAAATTGTGTGGATGTAACACTGTTAATTTAAATATGTAAAAACTTATATATATATATATATATTTTTAAATTACTTAGGTTGGAAGAGACAAGATTATTCGTTTTTAAGAGTAGTGTTTCTCTAGATTTCTTTCCATTTTACTTCATTTTTCTCCTTGTTAGTTATCCAAATAGGTGATTAGTATCAAGAGATTTTCAATTTTTTTAACTCTCCATATTGCCCAATCCAAATGTGCTGAGGCAAAAAAAATATAAATAATTAAATAAATAAATAAAGCCAATTCACCGGGTCTTGTCTAAATTCAAGCATCACAACTTGAAGAATTCAAAGAAGAAAAAGAAGGAATCCCCACAAAAAGACCACAATCAAACAAGCAATCTCCACAAGAAGATCACAATCAAACATTTAAATTTTTCCATAAAATACTTTCATAACTAAAACTAATCCCTACTGTATAACAATTAACATCTGTAACAACAATACAAGTAGTGGGTGAGAAGAAGAAGAAGAAGAAGAAGAAGAAGAAGAAAGATAGCAAAGCAAAAAAACCAAAGATCATAACCACAACCAACCTTTTATTCACTCTCCTAAATTTGCACCTCAAACAAGAGCATTTGTTGAAGAAGATCAAACTCACAGCCTCCTTAAATTCACTTTTCTTCATTTGCACTTCAATCTAAACTCACCATGTTTCTATTCATGTTGCCTTCAACTACCTCCCTCCTCCATTGCTTATTTTCTTTTCCAACCCGGTATCCAGCTTGGCGGGAACCGAATGCCTCCTTGTTCCAGCAGGGGAAGATGGGAACGAAAGCCGCTTTTTGGCAGAACCAGCCCATCCCTTCTCCAGTGTTCCATTCCCCAATGGACTCACCAGCCGAGACCTGGCTTTCACTGACTCTGTGGGTCCCATATAGCTCGGGACTGCAGGTGAGCTCGCTAGGCTCTCATCGTCTCTCATCGATGACCCTCCAACGCTATGTCTCCAGTACCTCTCTGATTTGAAACTAAGCATGCCAATGCTTCTCGACTCATCGTCTCCACCAACACCACTGCCCTTTGGGCTTGCTAGCCTTGTTTTTGTAGTAACCGATGGTGCCTTGGAAGTGGGCGTTGAGGGTGATTGGCGGTTAGGTTTTCGTGCTTTTGGAGAGGAGGTTTTGAGCTCACGGCATGAATGAGCCTTGCTCAGTTCTCCAACAGAAATGGCACGGCTTCTTGTGCTTTTGACAGAGGCATGATCACTGTTCGGTTCTCTGTCATGCATGCCTTTGTTTTCCCATGGCCGGGCTGCCATCCATCGCTCTAACCAACTCCATCCCCAGTGGGGATTGTTTGGATCCATGAATGTCTGTTTCCCAGATTTCGAAGAGTTTTTCCACGCTTGCTGTCGCAGAGAATTTTGAACGAGTTTCAGAACTTTTTTTGTAAATTGCTTTTCTAATGACAAGTTAGATGATGAAAAAATAAAAGTAAAATCACTAAAAGAAAATATAGACATAAGAATCTAATCCTTCACGAAAATTCCTAAATGACATTGGGAATAAGATCCTCAATCGGATTGTATAGAAAACACAAGGCCTCATTTCGATGATATGTAAAACAAAATGGAAGTTAGGGATAACAAAATGTCCAAAAAAACTAAAAGGTTCTCAACTTATTACCATTATTTTTCACTTCAAGCATGGTAGAAGTGAAGACCAATAAGGGTTTATTTGGATCTAGCTTTTTCCATTGGCAACAAATAATCTTAATACAAAGCTTAACTCAAATTTCCTTCTCTTATTCTCACTAAAACTTATTGGGTTTTACATATGAAATGAAACCCTATTAAGAATAGTGTTAATGTAACACTACATTTAATTCTTTCAAGGGTGATGTTAATCCCCAAAATTGAAATGTTAGTTCCATGCTACATATAGTCTTGTGACAGAATTTTTGTCTTTTTACTTTACATCCTTGGTTTAACGTGGGACTAACATTCTCCGGCTTGGTATTATCATTATCGATCAAACTTTCAAATTGTCCAATGATGAACGTAAAATGATTGAGCGAAGGTTTGAGAAAGAATGGGAGAATATTACCTGGCGAGAGTATGCATAAGCCAATGCCCGTTCCCTTCTCATAGCAGCCTCCTGCTTGTTCAGTAGGTTTGCTTCAATCTGCTCCTTAGACTGCGCGCTATCATTCCAATCTTCTCCCACCTATTGTAAAAATTGTTCAATTAAGCCCAAAAATACCAGATACATATCCGATGTGACAAAAAAAAAATTTGTTTATCTTCTTTTGGTTGTCCATTTGTATGTCGCATAGGTTTCTCTATTCGTGAAATGAATTTTCAGAAAAAAAAAAAGAATTTTCAAAAAAAAAAAAAAAAAAAAAAAAAGATAAATGGACAAAGACTCAGGGAAGTTGGCAAGTCAAAAAGAATTTTAAATTTGGAATCTTCTCCTTGAATTCAGCCAACATTTGAAATTTTAAATTCGTCCAAATGGGTAAACAAATATATCACAAATACTAGTGTTTATAATTGGGCTCACAGAAGCTCTATATTTCGCAAGCTCTTTCTCGTGTTTCTGCTGGAGCTGTCTTTGGAGAGCCTGGTTCTCCTCTGACATTCTGATCCGCCTTGCACGAACCTGAGACTGCACGCGAGCCAGAGTCTGCATGCATCGTAATGTGGTCGTGGCTTGTCGTTTGACAGAGTGACCTTGTATAAGAGACTTCAACCTCACAAGCCCTCTCAAGGCCCGCAATGCTCTCCTTGCCTGACAAACAATGAACCCAATCCCCAATCATCATTAAACAATAAACATTTCTCATGCGGTTACTTTTTACCAGAAATTATATATCTCATGACCAAGGATATTTGAGTTCTATTGCTTATGCGAGTTTTTTCAATACTTCCATGTTGGGATTAGTTACTAGTACTAATTTGATACAAATTTATATTTCAGGGGAACTAGTTGGAATAGGGTTTTGGTTTACACAGCCTAATGAGGCAAATACTTGTCAAAAAACATTTAATCGAGTGGGAGATTTTGGTTTGTAGAAAACCTTAACTTAACCATTAACACTTCAAAGATTATGGTAGATGATTTTTTGCATTTACTAGTAAAAGTCCAGACATTAAAATAAGCAATTAATGCAAAAATAAAAAATAAAAATGATAACAAACTGCAGAATGAGTTAAAAATGATTATTCAGAACATGCCATTGACTCAATATGAAGACAAATTCAGTTTAATAATGCTCACTGCACAACTGAAATTCAACTATTTATCAGAAATCAATATTCCTGAAACAAATTCCCACAGTTTGGCTAGAGCTACAGGCCAGATTTTAACCATACACGAGTGTAAAATGATCTCAAATCCAACAAATGTCATAAAAGCACATTTGGCATTTTCTCAAAACAAAAAACAGCATATTAAGGAAGAATGGCAAAGCAAACAAAAGAAGAAAACATGTACAAAATGCGTACTTCATGAACTAAATTAGACAAAAATGAGCATTTTATGGGAGAGAATAATAATACCAAATATCCTCGGAACGCTGTTTGAATCTTGATTGCAGCAACTTCCTCCTTCGATTTGCCAGAGTAACGGGCTTTGGCTGTGAGCCGAACAATCTCAGCAGCAGCCTGAGCGGCTGCAACAGCTGCCTCAGCAGCCGCGGCAGTGGCAATGGCAACAGAATAAGCATGTTTGTTTTGCTCATTTTCGGCTTCTGTTAATTTCACATCCTCTATTGGAGTTATGGCCAATACAGTTTCTTTAGGTGGAGAGCCCAGATAGGGGCTCTTGCGTTTCCCAAACCATTTGTTCTTCGTTTTATGGGTTTTCTGTTTAGAGAATTGCACATTGATCAATCACAGTTCTATTACACACACACACATAGAGCTTATGGAAGAGAGCGAAAATTGAAATATTCTAAAACCTTGTCTTTCTTAGCCTTGGAGTCGGGACTGAGAGCCTTCTTCACTGCAGAAATCCAGCTCCCATTCTTCCCCATTTCCTAATCAGTTCATTTCTTGGGAAACAAACAGGCATTTATGAAACTACAATCCTAGAATATATCAAATGAACCAAAAAAAGAAAAAAGAAAAAGGCACATGTATTGAAAACCAAATCCAAGAAAATATAGTGTGCAATTGATGTTTAGTTGAAAAAATAAATAAAAATTTAAAAAAAAAAAAGAAAGAAAAAGAGAGAACCAACAGATTTAATAATCACACAGTTGTAAATGCCTAAATAAATTCACAAGTTTTAAAATTTTAGAACAGATCTAAAATGAAGACAACCAATTTGTTCCATTATTTACAGCTTTATGAGAAAATCATCAATAAAGTAGAAGAAACTTGTGGACCAAATTATCCAATTCATTGGACAGGCAACCAATCGTGAAAGACCCAGATGCAGAACTTCACAAAATAATGAGAAATGAATGGCGTCACATCAAATTTTCCAAGAAAATAAGAAAAGGAAAGGAAAAGATTTGAACCAATTATCCAATCCTTGTTGAAGACAACAAATGTTGCAATACCCTGAAGTTGAAAATGCAAAATCTTGAAGAAAACATGAGACCCAGTTCAAACTTTCTAATTTAGAAAACATTATAATCATAACCCAGAGAAACAAAGAGAAAGAGAATAAGAAACAGAACAAAGATGTTGTAAAATGTTTTATTTCACATCCTCAACAAAATGATAGGAATCAGTTGGGTACCTGCAAATGAAAATTTGGAGAATGCAGGCAGATCTGTGCTAGTTTTGAAGTTTTCTCAAAGAGAACTTGAGAACACTGAGTACACAAAGAGGAGAGAGAGAGAGAGAGAGAGAGAGATCAGCAAAGAAAACTTCAGCGATAGGGAACTTAAGGAAGACAAGAATAACAGAAAGGGTGGGGTGGTTTTTTTTATTTATTTATTATTTTTTATAACGGCAACATTAACTATTTTTTAGGATAATGTTCTCTGAAGTGTTAACGAATTTTCATTTTGATCCTTAAAACTTGTTTTTTATTTATTTTTAATTAACCAACTACCCTTTAAGATTGGGCAAATTACAAATAGTGGAACAGACACAAAACAATTGTATTACAAATGAGAATTTTTTTTGTGCAATTCTACAAGAATAGATTTGCATCATGTACATAGAAAAGTTGTATCACCACAAAAATATAATTTTTTTGCCACTACACTAAAATATCATTTTCTCTTTAAAATTTGCAAGAAAATGCAATACAGTGCTATTTACTTAGCCAAGCATCACATTTTACCCAACTCGAACTGGAGAATAATATGTGAAGATAATTAATTTGTTAAATATTATATTTCTTTTATATTGGCCCGTCAAATATAACGTTTTTTCTTATATTCAATGACAAAATTGAGATGGTTAGCCAACAATAGGCACCAGTTTTTCCTTCCTTTTTTTTTTTTTGGTATAAATAGAACAAAAAATATACTAATACTTTAAGAATATTTAAAAAAAAAAAAAAAAACAAAACAGAACAAAAAGAAACAAACAAACAAAAAAAAAGAAACAAACAAACAAATATTGAAAGTATTAATATGAAAAAGTAATTTTTGTACTATTTTCACAAGTTACCCTCCAGTTTGGATCAAATAAAATGTCACATGTCGACATGTGCCACAATGTAGCATGCACGTATTTTTTGTCAAGAATAATGCTATACATACATACTTTTTTTTTAACAAACTAACATAACGTTTAATATCAAAAAATTGCTAATTAAAATTGTGGAGAAGTGATTTTGGAAATACTCTTCAGATCCTGGGAGACGCTAGTGATCCTCAGCTAGTCACCTGAAAAGACACAAACACTCCGGTCGGGGGTGCCGGAATTAGCACTCCGACGGACAAGTTAGTTCAGACACTCAGAATAGCTTGTCTACTAAGTTTTGTGAAGTGATTCTTACATACCTTTCTAAATCTGTGGTTCTTGTATTTATACTTGCTTTTTGGGCCTCGGGGCCTGAGCCTACTTTTATCCCATTCCCCTTTTATTCATTTGGAGCCACTGACCTCCGTCTATTCGGCTTTCCTAACGTATTCGGCGTCCTAGTCACGCAACATAAAGCCGAACAGTATCTAATTTCTGGGGTACGCATCTTCCGACTGTTCTACTTATTTGACTCCCACAAAAATGGAACCAACATAAATTATATGATAGAAACACCTTATCTGTTGCATTAGTTTATTGACTAAAGGGTGGTTTAGGATGATCAAAATAAGTACACTTTATAACTTTTTATGAAATATGAGTTGGATATAGGTTGGGTTTGAAGTGATGTGATAGAGAGGTGATATGATTTAAACAAGACGATGTGACTTAAATAGAATAGTAACTTTTTAACTTTTTTAAGTTATGACAAACAAGACCTAAATTTGAAACTCCGTCAAATTTTGAACGGTTGTTGTTACTAGGGAAAATTAGAAATAATTTTGGATACTTTAAAGACCAAATCGAAAAAAACAATCTTTTAAGGATTATTGTGAGAATTCACTAATACTTTAAAAGGTAAAGTGCAATTTACTCTCTCTCATCTCCTGGTCTAAGCAGAATAGTGGTTGATCGTGTATCCATCTATTTTGTGTCGAAAAAATAAAATAAAGCTATCATATATTTTCGTACTATTAGATGGGAAACCTATACCACAGGCAACCTATTATAAATTAGTAAAATTTTATCACAAAATTTTATAATATTAATTACAAAATTATTAAAAATTATTTTTTTGGGGTGTGTTATATAAACATTATTTTTATCTTTTTTGGGTTACATCTCCTCTCTATTTTTTTGCATATCTTTTCATAAAAAGTCAAAAAGTATACTTATTTAGATCATTCATATTCTAAGATTTTGTTAAAAAAGTACACTTATTTACAACATTACCTAACTAATTTTTTTACCACATAGGATATGGGTCATGATTGAGACCCCCTCCAATTACCACCCTCACTACTCCCACACACGTGGCGGGTGGTGATTGGAGGAGAAGAAAAAAAAAAAAAAAAAAGCTAGCCAATCATGTTGAGAGGGGGTCAAAGGGGGGGGGGAAAAAGGGGTCCGGGTCATTATTGCATAGGATATATAATTAACTTTTTAGTAAATTACAGTCACCTCTTCTAAGATTTGGTTAAAAGATAATGGTTAAATTTGGCCTCTTTTGACAAAGAGATTAAAATCAGCTTTTTGGCTTTTAACTTCTTTTAGATCAAATCATCTCTCTATTTTTCTTTTATACATTTTTTCAAAAAAAAAAAATAAATAAAAAGCCAAAAAAATTAGTTTTTAATCTACCTCCCAAAACAACTTTTTATCTCAAGTTCAAATTTTAAATTGAGAGTATTTGAAGGGGTTGTAGGGCTCATTATCGTTTTGCGTCCCTTGAAAATTTAAGGGGCACTAACCCGTATGCCCCATTTACAAAATTCAAAACTCATTTAATTTCAAAACAAAACACTTGTACCAATTAGTCTTACATATTTTTAATTGTTACTATTTTTTTTTAATTTAACATTGCAGTAAATACACTTTCAGCTACTAAAATAATAGTTGCCGAAGTGTTCAACATTGTCGGGAAGTTGGTGGAAATTTGTTGGAGTGTGCCGCCGAAATATCCAGAATATTGTTGGACGTCAAGAATATCGCCGAAGACTCACCAAAATGTCCAAAATATTGTCAAGAAAAAAATAAACAGAGAAATTAGAGGAAAAAATACAACAAAATATGCTAAATATTAACAAACTGAAAGAAATATATATATATATATATATATGGCAACAAGAAATAACAACAATAGAGGAAAAAAAAACACATACTTTTCAAATTTTATAGGGTTTAAGCAAATAATTTCCTATGTTGATCAAATTGAAAAGCATACTTTGAAACTGTACAATTTTTACCATTTCAAAGCATGATTCTAATAAGCATTTCACCTTATTAACTACACTGAAAAATATGTTATGAAATTACAAAATTTTACAATAAAAACATGGCATGAAACTGTAAAATTTTACAACTTTAAAGCATTGATGTGTCGTTTTATACACCAAAAATAAACACTAAACTATACCAAATTCCTTAGAATAATGGTAAGTCTAAGTATCAATCCACAGGAACAAACGGGAAATTAAACTAATTTAATTGTTGAATTCCTAAATTAATTTTGATGAAAGAGATGGTTATTCATAACCTAATGATAATTAAATTAAATAAAGCAAATAAACTAACAATTATAATTAAAGATGAAGTTACTGGTTTTGAAAAAAAACCTAGGGTAATGAATTCACCACTAATTACATAAATAAGGTTTCAATTTAAAAATTAATTATTTTACGGTTCTAACTAAATAATACTTCGCAACTACAAGTTCAAAACATTGATCAAGAAAATTAACACGTTCAATATACAGGCACGAACCATCTCAAGTAGTACGATTCGTTCACTCTAAACTACGGTAGCAAAACGACTCATCCCTCGTAGTATGACTCGTCTCATACCTTAAATATGAAAGTACAGAAAATCATTGCATGGAAAGCATTCAACAATCACAGAAAAAAAGAATACTTGAAGAAATAATGAAAAATTATATTTGAAAACTTCTTGAGAACCATAAAACTGTTCAAACCATTACATAAAAAAAAACCTTATTTACTTGGCTAGGGTTTCATCAAATAGGAGCCTAGCCACTCATGGAGGAGTGGGAAGAAGTAGTAGAAAAAGAAGCCTTCATGAAAATTGTCCTTGAAGCTTGAGAATCCTCTTTTCCAAACCCTGGCCCCTCTGTTCTTTGAAATATTTTTGGACCCCAGAAGCAGCCTTTTTTCTTCTTTTTTTTTATTCCCAACAAAACATAATTGAATTTTCACGCATGCAACCCCAGGTGGGCCGCTCGAGCGCCCCTACTTTCCGCTTGAGCGGTGGTGGGCCGCACGTAAGGTGGAGCTTGGCCGCACGTGCGGTGAGGTGGCAGGCTAGAAATTTTCAGTACAATCTGCTTTTGCACCACTTTTTACTTCAATTTGTGTGTTGTCTGCCAAATCTGTACAAGTGCACAAAAAATATCATCTCCACCAAATAAACAAAATTCAAAGACTATAAATGTAACTTAAACAACCTCAATGTGATATCTTTCGACCTACATCACATCTCCCAACTTACATTTTGCTAGTCCTCGAGCAAAACAATAGAAATAAGAAAAATAAAATACTATAAGCCACTTTCGTAGGAATCATGATTGCATTTAGCATATGCAACCAGCCTTTAAACTACAAGGTTACCCCAAGTGGACGAGTATAGTCTCGTAAGGGTTTCCAAAAATGATACTCACAAACATCAACATATTCATATCTGCCCAACAATAATTAACCACACCACTCCACGTAATAATTAACTTATGTGCTAACTACAGTGCGACATTAAGACATAATGAGTCATTGATGGCACAGTGGACAAGTATGAAGGAATCTATTGAGTAAGAACCACAATTATGTATTACAAAAGTTCAGTCTCCTGTACTTGTGAATGCTAGTAAACATCATCAATGCCCCTGGTGTATAGTACAGTTTCCATAACTAATTAACTGTCCACTATAATAGCCTATTATAACTCATAATAACACCCAACATATGCAGAAAAACTAAACTTTTGCAACCAAGATTCTCAAATTTTTGTCTCTTTCTTTTTATTTTTATTTTTATTTTTTTTTAGACTGTGCAATGTCCTAATCCATTAAGCTTTCTAATCAACCCATATAACAAGTACTTGGCCAATTACTCCCAAACCAGATAGTTTTAGGGCTCTAAGTGTGAAGACACCCTTATAGGCTTAATAACTCGAGCTGAAAAGATTACGGATCTGAACAAATCAT